GTGTAAGAAATTAAGTGTTGGTGTGTGTATGCATCTTTCTCTCGGCATACGCATTAATTGGGTAATAAGTATTAATACGATTTCATCACATTCACTGAATATAGTGAGTATTCCAGATTTGGCGTACACCCTTAGGAATGGGCACGTGGTATAAATCTAGAATTTGATTTAGATGGCCCCTATCTTATTTTTGTAATTTCATATTTAGAAGATTGATATTTTGCAGCTGGTTTATTTAAAATAAAAATATTAAATCTAAATTTTTTACAAAATAGTAAGATTTTGGCTGTTCAAATCTAAGCTGAAAGGTCCAGATGTTTGAGATATGCACTGATCCATATTATGGGGCTGCTTGGGTAGCTTTTTCGAGAGGTCTAAATATGCCTCTTAATGCTGTCAAGCACCCAAATTTGGAAAATGTTTTGGTCACAAACTAGTGTAAAACTTTAGTTATACTGAGGTCGGATGTTCGGTCAGGCCTCTTGATAATGTTACATTGACAAAGCACAAGGAAGTAGGAGTCCAGGAAGCCTTTTCTTTTTTTTTTTTTTTTTTTGGGGGGGGGGTAATTTTTTTCTCGAGACAATAATTACAACACTCTCACAAATACTCTGTACGTCACAGCGCACAACCTTTACAGACATCATGGAAACACCAAGTACAAATGAAATAGGAATATTACAGCTTGTAACATTTCAAGAATTTCTGTAAGCCAACACACGTTGCCTCTGGACCATAGTCACACCAATACAGCAAGAACAGACAAGACACAACGTGTATAACAAATTTTTTTTTTTTTTTTTAAAAAGACAAGACACAACAGTGGAAGCGGATCTGGTAACAGGTGTTAGACTAGGTAGGACAAGAACTTCACAATGCCTGTAACATATCTTATCAGTGGCTATATGAACAGTTTGTTTGCATGTATGTCCTTTCTAATAGTTGTGTAAGATTTCGTCTTGCATGTATGCAGTTTATTAGCTTGTTAGATATTTATTGTTTTGAGTTCCTAATAATGCGCTTGCACCGATTACTATTATTCTGGCTAAACATTTGTCAATTTGTCCCTGCAGGATATGGAAAAGTACCAGACTATGAGAATACATTTACAGAGTTTCTTCTTAGCCTAGCGCCCAGCAAGTGTAAGAGGAGACCGCCTACTCTCGGATGAAGGAACTGTACATAGATCCGTTAAAGGTTTCTTGAGTGAGAAGTGGGAAACACTAGGCTTAACATCATCTAAGTGCAGCTTTGATGTCCGAAAGTTCCTTTTAAGAAGGGCTATCATTTTATTTTTCTGGTGATATATTTTAGGATTTAAGACGCTTTTGGTTTATCTAGTTTTTGCAAAACTCAATTTTGCCCTCTTAGAGCAATCTAATTCTGATTCTTAGTCACATATTCGCCCGAAGTTTTAACCGATCAAATTTAATACTCCTCCGATCCTTAATATAAGATCTATTTAACTAAGTTGATTAGATTAAGGAAGTTAAATAAGTTAGTTAATTATAAGAAATATGATATGTTTTTTTTGTAAAACACCATAATTATCTTCCTTAATGTCTTCTCTCTCTTTTATTTGATTAGAGTTGAAGGAGTATTTATAAGTGTAATTTAGAAAAAAATAATAAATATAAAAAACAGATTGTATATTTAGGATCGGAGGAATAATATCAACTAACTTGTTGATATGAATGATAAGGTTTTGAGAACTCATATTTTGGTAACCATGGCATCCATTCGGGGAAAAAATACTACTTCCGGTTCTTAATATAAGATCTTGTTTGACTTTTATTTTGGTTTTAAATATAAGATCTCAATCAACTTTGTCTTTTATAGTTATACTTTTTTTTCAAATTAGCTCTTCTAATAATGATAGTTCTAGTCAATATACTTGATTATTAAGGATATTTTAAGAAAGACAACACCTGTTTAGGACAAATAACTAACTCAACTTATTTTCTTAATCTCCTCAAATTATTAATTGACTCTTATAATTAGGACCGGAGGTAGTATTGTATAGTGGAGGATAGGAATGTCCTTTCTGAAATCAATTGAAAAGTAAAATTGTCTTCTACTTTCTTACTATTTTTGACTGCGCTAGACTGCATGATAATGAAAAATCAGTGCATATTTTTTTATTAATAATTAATTTAACTATTTTTTAAATTTATTTAAATTAGTTAAATAGGTCATATATTAAGGATGGATGTGTTATCGTTTTTATTTTGTCAACTAGTAAGATTTAGTTTGATTTAGCAACAAGTTACATGGCTAGTGCCTTCTTCAACAAGCTCACATGCATGGTGCATATATATGGTTCATGAAATGGATTTAGTTAACGTAATTCTAGCTAATTTTATCAATTAATCGCTTTATAACTCTTTTCATGGGTCCTGTAAGAGAGAAATAAGGAGTCAACGGTGGAAATTCACATGTCAAGATACTTCCATTACTTTATCTCTTTCTTGACTAACCCAGACAATTGTAGCACAAAAACTAATTGGTTGTAGCAGAATTAACTGTTCTGTGTCAATTAGATTAACGGTGGTCTCTGTACACTCTAGATTTTCATAATTATCATCAAGCAAAGTCAACTTTCAGCTGCAAATCAGTGTTCAAAGAATATGTCAAGAGATAGGAGTAACGGGGCTATTTATTTGATTTTATTTCTCCCAAGAGACAGAGTAATTCATAATAACTTTAGGGCATGAACCAAACCAAAGTTTTTAATATAAATAATTAATAAACAACTATATATTTAATTGATTAATTCAATTTATCTTATTACACGTTTAAAATATTTTCAACTTAGTTTTCAATAAAACATATAGAATTATCCAATATGAATATAAAATACTACCTCTAGTTTTAAATGTAGAAATTTGATAACTAATTTTTAAAGATTAAGAAAATTAGTTAAGAAAGTTATTTATAAAATATGGGGATTAGTTTTGCTACAACACTTCTTGATGGAAATTTAAAAATCTCTTAATATATATAAGCAATAGGGCAAGTTTAAGGGAAAAATTATAAAATAGATTAAGATATTATATTTAAAATTAAAACGACATTATTCGCCCCTTCTTAAATTGAGAACCGGAGTGAATATTTGATATGAAAACAATCTTTTAATTGACATAGCTGGTCTCCATTTCAATCTAACCACTTCTTTTGTGGAGTTCAAAGAAGACACGAAGTCACCTTTCCTTCAACTTTTCAAATAAGCAGGACCTCTAACCTCTCAGAGATTTATAACAATACGTACTTACAAACCTTAACTTAGACCATATAGATCTTATTATTCATGAAATTAAGGGCAAATAATATATCATAATAAATTATACTACATTCGGTCCTTAATATAAAAATTAGTTGAGAGTTGAATTTAGTCCTAAATATAAGATTGTAATTCACTTTGTCTCACATCTCTTCCCAAAATATTCCTATTAATTGTAAGAGTTTTCCATAAAGGAATAATTCTAATAATCCAATTAGGATGTATAGTTTAGAGAGATTAATATACATTTGTGATAGAAAAATAATTAACTTAATCAATTTTCTTAATATCTCCAAGTTAGTTATCTAATTCTTATATTAAGGAGTAAAGGTAGCATATCTAAGCAGCTTGTCTAAAACTCTTCCTTGAAAATGCACAACCATGAGTTGTAAAGTGGGTTTAAATCTGTAAGATAAAAGACTCATTGCATAGTTTCCTCTTTTTCTTTTAAACGTATCTAGATGTATCAATGGATTGTGTGTGAAAACTAGATAGATAGCAGCATAAAAAAGTCATATTACAAATGCTTTCATAATCTCTTTCTAATTTTTGCAACTGAAAAAGGTCATTATGTGCAGAAATGGAATATTTGTGTGTCTTTGTCATCAATCCCATTCTAAAAAGAGATGCCATGTTTCCATCTTTCCAGATTTAGCTTCTGATACAAAAGCAAGTGTTAAACCTGTATATCCGCCATATTATCCCATTTTTAGTTAACCAAATTAAAGTATTTAATAAATAAAGAGCCGCAAAATGTTTTATTTGAAAATTGAAAATGGGAAAACGCAGTTTCAGTAAATTACGGTGTAGTAAAAATTTCACAAAAGAAATATTACAAAGATTAATTTTATAGGATTTGGTATCGATGCATAAAGTAAATTAGGATAAAAAGCTCCGCGTTTGTTTGTTGAAGAGAACATCTTGGATTACTCCAGTGTATCACTTATTAGTAAAAAAATATAGACTCATAATTTCACAGTTAACCATTAAACTTTTTTTTTTCCCATGGGAAAAAAGACCAGGTCAATATATTTCAGTGAATTCAGTGGAATTTTCATAGTTTTTTTTTCAAAGATAAGATTGAGTTATATAATATAACATACTTCTCTAGTCTTACTACAAAAAAGATTTTTTGTCCTATTTGTAACTTTATTGAATTTTTTAAATATAAATGTATTATTTTATTTGCTTATGTATTATTATATAGATTGTTATCTTCTTGAAAAGTGTCGGTATTAAATAGGAAAAAAAAACCAAAAAATTAAATTTTAAAGAAGAATTAATGGAGTTTAAATTTTTTATTGGTTCTGATAAAATATATTAGAAGTGACTAATAAATAAAATCAGATGAGTAACTAAACAGGCTAATTATGGTCACCATTTCCAAACATTAAAGTTCCTACCATATTTAACATAAAATCACCCCCTAATTATAACATTGAATCCAATGCCATTATAGTCATTATCAGAGAGATTTTTTAAAAAATCTCAAACCCTGAAAAAATATGAATGTAACCAATATTTGTAATAATTATTCTGACACCTAATTAAGACAAATGGTTTGTCCCACAAAACCACTGTGTTGAACCCTTCCCAGAAGCCCTATAAATTGACCCCAGCTCCATCCCTTTCTGTGTACCATTCAAACACTGATTTTTCTCTTCAATTCCTTTATTCTATCTTTCTGTGTCACTTGTGAATTTGCAGTTTAATCTCGGCCATGTCGTCGTCGAGCTCAAATGCAGGTGGAAGGAGGAGTAAGGGTCGCCAGAAGATTGAGATAAAGAAGATGGAGAATGAAAGCAACCTGCAAGTGACCTTCTCGAAGCGACGAGCCGGCCTCTTCAAGAAGGCCAGTGAGCTTTGCACTCTCTGTGGGGTTGAGGTTGCCCTAATCGTCTTCTCTCCCGGCGACAAGGCTTTCTCGTTCGGCCATCCAAGTGTCGATGCTGTTTTGGACCGTTTCCTGAATGGTGGTGTGCCACCACAGCCTCCGTCAGCTTCCATGCAGATGATGGAGGCTCACCGGAGCGCTGCCGTCCAGGAACTTAACGATCAGCTCACTCGCCTCATGGAAGAGCTAGAGGTGGAGAAGAAGCACGGAGAAGAACTCAACAGGAAGTTGAAGGAGATGGAGACCAAGTTCTGGTATGCTCAACCGATTAATAGTCTCACCATGGATCAGCTAGGGAGCTACAAGGCGCGTCTGGAGGAGATGAAGAAGACAATGTGGGGCCGAGCTGATCGGGCTATGCTCCATGTTGCTTCAAATGCCAACAAACCTTCTCAGTTCTATGTGGGTAGCAGCTCTTCCGCGGGCTGCCGGCTGCCGCCGCCGCCACCGCCAACGCAGAATATGGCAGCTCCACCTCCACCAGCCCAGGTGTTTCCTCCCCCTCTCGCGCAGCCATTCCTGCAGCAATCTCCGATAATGTTCGAAGGAAACATGATGATGTCGCCACCCCCGCCTTTGCCTCCGCCTCCTCCACCACCTGCTCCTCAAGGATTCCAGCAGTATCAGAACCTGGAAGAGAACAGCGGAGCAGGATACTGTTGATCTGTTGAGGTTGTCTCTCGCAGGAGAATGCCCTGTTTATGTCCAAACTTCAGTTGTTGGACTCTTTTCAGCCTTTGGGATTGGGTTATGTTTCATTGTCATGTCGTTTTTCTCGGTGTCTGCGTAGGTGCCGAACGTGGGTTCTAATGTTTCTTGTTTTCATGTGTCATTTCCTGTTTGTTTTGTGATAGTGCTTTTTAATAATTATAATAACAATGATAAAGGGCTTTCTCTTATTCCTGTGTGAGCATACCTCTTCAAAATTCGGATGGTAAAGTTCAACTAATGAATATAATGAAGGTATTGATTCAATTGATCTTCGAGAAAAACTGTTAATTAGATGAACAATAATTCAGACACTAGAGAATATAATCTTACGAACTCAGCATCGATCGATATGCGTACTGGAACAAGCTTTCTTCATAGTTAATCACATCAAGAGTTGGAATTTTCCAATTTTTTTCTCAGAAATGATAAATTAAGCTTTATAATAAGTAGATTTCACATATTGAGGAACGAGAATAGTGTCAGTATCCAGAGAAGAAGATGGAATTGTACTATGAAATGAATGTGATTTTTCATTATATTCATGGTTTGGTCAACACCAAGACTAAACTAGACCACACTCTTCTGATTGTACCAATGAAAAGGAGCAAAGCAAAGAGAACAAACGAGTCCTGAGAGAATCTCATGTTCGTTGCAATGGAGAAATTTACTAAGAGCAATGATATAATAACAGTTCTTATGAGTGTGACAGAGCTTATAATGAATTAATTAGGTTCAGATCCCACGTAACATATAATTTACTGAATCTACATGCAAATAAATGAAATGTGGGCCCATGTACAGCCTTTCATTTTCCTGAATATTACAATACTGTCACAGAGAATCCAAGTTAATGAGAGACATAATTATGCCTGAAAGTCAAAATTGAAAAGTCTAATTTCACATTTAACATGCTTCATTTTTCTCAACAATCCCTATGTTTGTTGCAATTCAAAATTGAAGTCAAACTTGTAACCGGCATTGATTTTTGTGGATGTAATATGCAGAATCATGATTTTTCAAATTTTAGAGAGAATGAATCCTGAATGATTTGTTCTTACAAAAATGCAGGTATTTTTGACACCCCATTGTTGTATTTAATTTGCTGATAAATCCATGGACAAGGAAATTTTGCGCACCAAATTTTGTTTTTTTGGAAGAATGATTACAACTAAATTATGAATCTTCATTTTTCAACCAAGTAGAATTAAGCATCGTATATATATAATCTAATTGAGGGGTTGTTTTGCTATGTGTAGAATGTGGCAGAATATTAATAAAATTTAGACGTGTCGTCTTTTCTTAAGGGAGGCACCTTTAATTTTCGTATCCACCGAGAGGTTCAAATGAGAAGGTAAAAGATAGGAACATACAAATAGTTAACACATTAAAATAGGTGTGTAATCATCAACATATTAATTTATAAGGAAAATATGTGTAAAAGTCAAATTATGTACAGAAGAAAAGGAAGATAAAATCACTTAAAAGATAGAAAGGAAATTGAGAGACAATTCGTATATATTATATTGAAATTTATTATGAGACTGGACACATACTATTCTCATTTCAGTTATATAACTTGATATTTTGAGTTGAGTGTATATATGTTATTGTGTCTGCTCATAAATAACAGGAATGGCATTTCATCTTTATTGTGATAATAAGAATCATGCTCAAATTGATTTTAGATTGTTCAAAGTAAATTTATTTTAAATTTTATATCTAAAATATTTTTTTATTTTGTATAAGCATAAAATTAAAATAAAATTATAATTTTTAAAAATTACATAATATAAATTTTAAATATGGACTATCCAATTTTTATTTGACTGTGCACATGTCATCATAATAACGAGCACATAGGAGGCTATGCTAATTTAATCAATAAATTTGAGCCTTAAGATATATTGCTACATTAAATATTCGTCTGGAAAACTTTATCGTCATTGTGGTTCTTCCTACTACAGCTTAGGTTGGTCGAAGGTTAATGTGACTAACAGATACCGGGTGGCTCTATAAAAAGGAAAAAGAGAAACACTTGATAGTTATAATCAGTTTAATAGAAGAAAAAATTAGTATAAAATATTTCACATATTCTGCTTTTCACTGTAAATATATGTTTATTTGAAGCTACTACGTCCGGTCTTTAATATAAGAGCTAATTGACTAATTTGAGTAGATTAAAAAAACTAGTTAAGTTAGTAATTTGTAATAAATAAGTGTTGTTTTTCTTAAAATATTCTTACTAATTAAGTGTATTGGCTAGAACTACCATTATTACAAGAACTCTCTTAGAAAAAAAAAGGATAAATATGAGAGACAAGGTGGATTAGCATCTTTTATTTATGATGAAAATAAAAGTTAAATGAGCTCTTATATGAAGGATCGGAGGTAGTATTTATTTCTGTCGAAAATCATAAATTTAATGCCGTATATAATTCCATATGTTTGTTCTTTGCATGGCGTTGTCTAATGTGAATCTACCGGTTTAATGTGTAACCGTGCTTTTTAACAAAAATAAGTAACATTTTTCTTCAAAATTTGAATGTTGAAGTTCAATAATACATGAATCTAGCGTGTCGGTTCGATAATCTTTGTAGAGATTATCGAATCCTAAGAATTATCAACCACAAAAATGCATAAATTTAAGAGATGACATATATGTAGTCGAAAAATTAAGCCATGAACAATTCAGGAAATTCCAACTCGGGATATATATATATATATATTTATATAGGTTAATACAATGTTTATCATCATTTGGTCTGTCTTCACGTAATTTCAAATGATAATTTTTAGTTGCTCGAAGAGTAAAATAATTCAGATTTTATTAGAACATATATAGGACCTACGTTTAGATGAAAAGAAAGTTCATGTATTAAAATATTTGATTAGTTCATATGTCGTCATAGAATTGGATCTTCTCAAATCGAAGATTACAGCTCAATTCGATAACCCTACCACCAACCTTGTTCAGACAACAAGCTCGGATTCGCAAGACAGCGTTCTGTAAGCAATCGTTGCAATCTTTCTGAGACAAATCAGGCATGCATTGAGCAAGACCATAAACAGTTTCGGACTTATCAGATGTTTCACTTCCCACAGCAACCTTATAATCATCCCTACCACCAGAAGCTTGGTTTCTTAACTTTTCCATTAGAACTTGTAGCGCTCTTGTGTAGCTCGCCGCGTCTTTTGCATCTTCTGGATTGTTAAAACTGTAGGAAAATGAAGGATCCAGCTATACTTGCTTTGCATTGGAATATCAGAATAGTGAAAGTGCACAAGTCATAGTATCCAAATGCGTCCTTCTGAATTTTACATGCCTTTGGGAGATCGGTTGTGGCATTGTTGAAGCAACTCCAGCAAGTATCCGGCTCCACGTCAGCTTGGCACAGCCCTTGTAAGTAAACTGTATCAGGGCCTTCGCCGGCGGAGGAAGTATGATAGCCAAAGTCAAATTCTGTCTCGGAAGTGAAATTAGAAAGAAGGACATTGCGGTTGGTTTCATAGGCACTCATCTGCAAGGCTAGGGTTCCTACATATTTCTTCTATAAGTATAATGGCCATTGGGAGGAAGCGGACCGGAGAGAATAAGGTGAGGAAGCAAAGAAAGCAAAAGAAACGAAGAAATATCAGAGGTACTCATCGTGCATTAATGGAATAATGGAATGAAATGTGATCCATGAGACAACATATTTATACTACAGAATCAACAAGAAGTCTAAGAAAAGATGCGAATAATTAGTATAGGATTACCAGTCCTGCACATACCTAAATTATGATCAGCTTATTAATTATTAACTCTAGCATTTTGTTCCAATCATGTTCTCGATTAGATGTGGCACTTCTCATATTATAAATAATTAATGTCCATTCCGTACATTCCACAATGTCCATTCACTAAATTCTTTTATACTCATAGCATATTCCATCACGAATTAATTTCAGAGCTCATCGCAATAACTACCATAATACTCATCATTGTGACGACATTTTTGGTTGCGTCCAGTCATTAATAACTTGATTATTTTTAGATAATAGTAGATAGAAACAATGCTTGTAAGGAGTCCTATTGAAACCAAGAAACATAGACCTACCTGCCTCCACACCCTCAAATACAATTTTAACAGTTTCGATTTAAATTTTTTAAATGAAAATCATCATTTTTAAAAACTTATAATTAAGAAACAATTTTTATTTCTGATTCTGAACATATCAAAATATCAGACTATTAAAAATGTAATATATATGTATAATATCTGGTTTTTTCAATTTTTATATGGAAATCTAAATTCCATTCTGTTCTATTTATTTTATGTCCATTTCTTTTGAATTTTACATATGAATGGGGTATTGAAAGAGTGTTTATATTTAGGAAGATTTGATGCTCATCACTCAAACTGAATCACATCCATTAATTAATGTCCTTCGTTCACTACATTCCAGAATGGAACTCAAGTGCCCCCATACGTTGTGGTGGGGTTCTCTGTTCTCATATTACACACAGGCACTCAATAAACACAATTTATTAGACTTGACCTTAGCTAGCTTATTCTTCCTGCTTAGTTTTTGGGTCAATAAGGACATTATATTTCAGGTTTTCAGAAAACAAGATTGGTATATTTTATGCAAAATTTAGAAGTTTAAATGTTAAAGTCAGACATCAAGTAAATGAAGATCTTAGGGAGACACAAGTCTTGCAAGCCACACGTGAGCAAAACTTCAAGGACTTGAACATAATATAGCATAAACTCATTATCTGAGTTGGAGTATATTTGAAATCGGAAGTAGTATTACACATCAATTCTTGCATTTTCTTTCAATAATTTTTGTTCATTCGATTGCAGGACTTGTCAATTATAACCCAACAATCGATGTCAATTCACAAAATTGTAGTACCTCCGCTTTTCAATATAAGAGCTAGTTTATGAATTTGAGTAGATTAAGAAAATTATTTAAGTTAGTTATTTATAATAAATAAGTGTTGTTTTTTCTAGGATATATTACTATTCAAATTTATTAGCTAAAACTACTATTATTATGAGGACTATCGTGAAAAAAAATAAATATGAAGGCAAAATAAATTAAGCTCTAATATTTAGGATTAAAATAAAAAACAAATGAGCTTTTATCAATAACAGTAGGTAATATTACACAATATCCATTAACTACATCCCATATTGGAATTTAAATGCCAACTAAGTTGCCGAGTCTCCATTATTCTCATATATTCCGAGCACTGTTTCTATTTATTTATTTTTTATTTGAACAAATTTATTATTGAGAGACATCTGAGAAAAATGGCCTCAGATAACTAAAGATGCGTAATCTACGCACAGAAAAAAATTGGATTTGAGCCTTTTCTTTACATTTTTTCTAATCCTAAAATGTAAGACCCATTTTATACAAAATGGGTCTTACATTTAGAATATTTTAGAAAATTAATTTGGCATATTTTAATTTCTAACAGATTTAGCAGTTTTACATAGATAAAAGTCAGACGTTAAGTAGATGAAGCCGCAATGGGGACTTGTTCAATTCCTACGTAATATATCGTACAGTACAAGTATTATTTGTTTATTTAATGAAAAAAGTATTTGTGTTTATTTCCCGCGTTTACTTCGCAATTATTACCCGGCAGATCATTGATGCCACAGAAAATAACATCCATTCATGGCTTAGCAGGTCTTTTTCTTTTTTGAGTGCTCTTGTTACGTTTTATTTCTTCAAACAAAAGTTAATTCTATAGTTTTTTCAATGTCGTTACGTATGTATTTTTTAAATTAAGTCCTGTGTTCATCATGAAGCTTGAATTATGATATATAGATGCATTGTAATTTCTCTACTTTTGGATAAAAATGGAATGGTATTCTAAAGGACATTATAACATCGAATGAGAAAATATTTATAATATTGATTTTTTACACACATTAAAATATCCTAATACTTATTGTCAATCACCAATTTTGTATTTTTCAAACCAAAATATTAATTTTAATAATATGTGTATAGACAAATTCACGCATACTCCTCTGTTCCAATATATTATATAAGCAACTTCTTTTTGCATATAGCGGATCCTAAATATAAGCAGCAGATTTTTTGTCTGAAATTTTAAATATTCTTTACATTTTTCTCCATTAAATATATGTCTTTACACTACCTGTTACACATTCTCTCTTACTTACTGTCTTCATGAGTAAGAGTATATTTGAAAAATAAATTATATTTCTAACACATTAATTTTTTTTAACTAATTTTAATCAATATTTCGATTTATGTAATTTGGTTAGTTGTTGCTTATGAGAAAGTATTAGTTAGGAAGAGAGAGAAAGAGCGATAAATCTAAAGCATTCATATGTATTATTCAGACTTGCCATACACAAGTACTCTTTTTCAAACACACAAACCACTCTACTTATTTATACAGACTTCCACGACACTCCAAGCAACCTTACGTTTAGCATAATTTACTCCTAGTCCTTGATGGGTCACTTATTCCTAAACACATAAATAAGCCAAGTTCGTATAGAGATGCACCCATAAAAGGTAACTAGTATATATTTTGACTCACATTTCCAAGAGATCAGAGTTTAAATATCATAATAGAAATGAACCGTCTCAAATCGAAGATTGCAGTCGAGTTTAATAACCCTACCACCAATCTTGTTCCTACAACAGACTGGGATCTCTGACATCGCGTCATCCAAGCAATCACTACACTCTTTCGTAGACAAATCTGGCGAGCACTGAACAAGACCATAAACATTTTCAGACTCATCAGCCACTTTGCCTCCCACAGCTACCTTAAAATCAGACTCCCCAGAAGCTTGGCTTTTCAGTCTCTGCATTAGATCAGTAAGCGCACTTGTGTACTTTTCCTTGTCTTTTGCATCTGTTGGGTTGTTGTAACTATGGGGAGGTTGAGTGCCGATATTTCTGCGTCTTCGATTGCTGGCATAGTATAAAGTGCAGAAGTCATAGTACCCAAATGCTTCTTTCTGATTTGGACATAACGTTGGGAGACGAGTTTTGGCATCGTTGAGGCAATTCTGACAAGTTGTCTGATTCACATCTCCCCTGCACAGACCTCGTACGTGAACTATGTCGGGGTCTTGACCGTGCTGCAAATCGTAGAAGCCATCATCAGTTGTGTTGGAAAGCATTGTCGAAAGAAGAGTATTGAGGTTGATTTGATAGGGACTGTTGTTTTCGTAGGTTCCTACTCCTCTGAAACACTTGTGATAAGGGAAGTCAGGCTGGCCGGAGAGAAACGTAAGGTGAACTAAGAACAAAACCAGAGCTAAAGAAATTACAGACGTTGTCATCATTGGAAGATAATGAAATGTGATGAGATGAGATGCCAGTAAACCACAGGTATTAGTTTAAAAAAAAAATTCCTCAACTTGCTTATATAAGCCAACAAACTAATGAAAAATATTAGTTTAAGTGCTCATCGCATCACTGCAATAAAATCTAAAACATTCAAAATTAAACCATTCAAAATTAGTTTTGATGGTCTAGATTTAAAATTTTTAACTAGTAAATTTTAAATAAACAAATTATTTTTTTAAAAAAACTTACAGTTAAGATATTATATTTATTTTGGATTATACACCTATTAAAAGGAAAATATTTTTAAAAAAACAAAAATATCAAGTGTTAAATCTTGACTGTTCATATTAAATTTAAATGGTTGAGATTTGGTAAGTATTGGTACTAAAATAATTGTTGTATGTGATCCAGGTTTCTAGAAATACAAGTCATGCGCATTCTTATTGTCAATTGAGTGCTCATTACCTCTTGCATTATTTTATTCGATACTGTAGTTAAATTGATGTACAGTTACTTATAGTGCATATCATTATAAGCCAACTATATGTCCACTCACATTTCTACATTATCGGAATATAAATGGCCACTTCATCTGCGGTGCCTCCCTCATATTCCCATGATAGATGGAAACGTTTTACGTACGTCATCCGTGATGCACAATGGAAAAAGGCCTCTTCTTATTTTCATTTTTAACGTTGTTCTGTGAATATTATGAAAATTCTAGGAGTTACAAGTTGAAAGAAGAGTAAGTTGGACGGGCAAAGTATTGTTCGTCTGTGTGTAACATAGTAATACAGACAATACCTTTATATCCTAGAAGAGGAACGAAGTGCGCGACAAATGAAAGACAAGGTTAACTGTAAAAATTAAAAATTATTTAGCTATTTGTAAAAAAAATTGTATGGGTATCATTTACATGAAAACTTCCACTATTAACCAAATCTCTCAACTAAATCTTATATCTAAGATAGAACAGTGTACATGACACAAGTCAAGGAAAACATGGGATTAGATCTCGAAAAACAAGTATCAATTGCACGTGGTCAACTATATGTGTGTGTGTGTGCGCCGCTCATTATGGTAAACCATACATTGCGTCTTTAATTTCTTCCACTAATTAATGTGTATCTTTTTTTTTTTTGGGCCAATTCCACAAATATACACTATCATCCATGTTTGTTGTGACAAAATGCATGCGTGGAACAAAGTAGTGGAATATCACAGCCGTCTAGTGAATTAAACCAATAAGATACATCAATATCTTTTTACTCTGTGTTCAAGAAAATGTACCAAACAAGCTAGCCATGGCTTCAGAGATCCATTATGGGGAAGGTACCTCAGAAGTAACAAGATATATATCCAGTGAACGAGATATATACTACTAGCTCTATCCAAGCATCATCATGTGAACGAGAATATACTGTTTCAAGCATAAACAAATGTGGCCTCAGTTAATTACTCCTTAATATTATGCTGGCTAACTAGGTGTTGGCCTTGAAGTTGATATTCAAATGCTCAGAAGTTGTGCAACTTCTTCCTATATAGGATGTCGAGTTTCTCTCAACATATCTCAATTTTTGCTGCCCAGGTCACTATGATTAAAGGTTTATACTTCACGAGTTCCCTGGTTCATCTTCGTTGCATGTTGTAATTAGAATTATGTTGTATTAAATCTTGTTCTATATTATTTTTTGTTGGCCACCAAAAAGAACTATTTCAATCAGAATTTCGCTCCTGTTATATGCTCTGCCAGGCTACCATTTGAAAAACATGCTTAGACTTCTCATATTCTCAGATGTATTAAGCTTGAAAGGCGAGTTTTTATTTGGTTTTCATCAAGAAAAATGCATATTATTTACTATATGCACCTTCTGCAAGTTATTATTTATTATTTTTCAGACCAACAACTGATGCAATTTCAGAAGTTGGAACAGTTAAGGGGAAATGCTGAGAGAATTATTAAACTTGACTTCTTTTGTGTGGTGAAAACTTCTGGAGTATAAACTTTGAGACACAGAGTTGAAGCTTTCTGATATTCATGCTTAAACAACTTTGCGACCAAGTCTATATACTTCTGACTATCACATGTTGGACCAAAAATCTAGCGAGGACAAAAGTCACACAAAACTAACACCTGAAAGCTCAAAAACTTACTGAAAAGGGTGATTAATCATCATAGAAGTGGACCCTCTCAAATCGAAGATTGCAACTGAATTTTATAACCCTACGACCAATCTTGTTCTCACAACAATCTGGGATTTTTGAGATAGCGTTCCCTAAGCAAGCGTCACAATCTCTTCTAGACAAATCCGGCGAACACTGAGCAAGACCATACACAGTAGTCTCAGACTCATCACCTATTATTTTGTATCCCGCATGGAACTTAAAAGTAGAGTCTCCAGAAGCAGCTTTGCTTTTCAGACTTCGCATCAGATCATTAAGCGCAATTGTGTAATGTTCTGCGTCTTCTGCATCTTGTGGATTGTTAAAATTGTGCGAAAAATCAGGAAACCGATATATCCCCAACAAGGAACGACTTGAGTATTGAAAAGTGCAGAAGTCATAGTATCCAAAAGCATCCTTCTGATATGGACACAGCTTTGGAAGAAGGGTTTTGGCATCGTTGAGGCATTTCCGGCAAGAAAATGGCTCCTCATCACCTCGGCAAAGCCCTTGTGCGTGAACTTTATCAGGGCTTTGGCCGAAGGAAGAACTGTAGAAGCCATAGTCAATTACTGTGTCGAGAGTGAAATTAGAAAGAAGAGCATTGAGGTTGGCGTAATAGGCACTTGGCTTTATGTAGGTTTCTTTGCCAAGTGAACAATTGTAATAAACGAAGCTGGGCTGGGCAGTGGAGAGAATGATAAGAGGATGAAAGAAGAAAACTAGAGCCAAAGAAATGATACAAGAGGTTGCCATGATTGGAATGGAATGTGATGAGGGATATGACTGTGTACTTAATTTAGCAACGATAATAACATCCTCAACTTGTTTATGTAGTAGACAAGTCAACAAGTCAATGGAAAAGATACAAATTTTAAGGTCAGATCAATAGTCACTAACTCTTGCATTATTATTATTTTTTTTCAATAATGTTGTTGATTTGACGTACAGCACATATCATTATGAGCCACTCAACTCAAGAATTTCCATGGTGGGATTTATAAAGGGAGCACATTCCACATATTGATTGCTGATTTTAATATAGACTATCTAGACTAATTTTGAATGGTCCAAATCAAACAAGTTTTTGTTTTAATAGATATATAATTTAAAATAAAGGTTAATGTTATTTTTAGTTCTTGAAATTTAACCTCATTTTAGTTTTGATTCCTAAAATTCAAAACAATTTAGTTTTGGCTGTTGAAACCTTGTTACGAAAGCCAAATATCATTAAGTGGACCAAACTGAAGTCAAATCTCAAGGACCACGATTATTAATTTTAAATTTGGGAAACCAGATCAAATTTCTAAGACTAAAAATGGTATTAATACTTTAAAATAAATATAATGTTATATCTGACACTTTTTAAAAAAAACTAAGTATGTTATTAAAAAATGACAGACTAGATTTTTAAATTTAAATTATTTAGATTAAATTTTAAATAATTTAGATTTCATTATAACAATGACCACCCACACTAATTGTCATTGTAATGGGAGGCCATCAGAAACCATTAATTAAAGCCCACTAGCAGGGTTTCCATATACCCATTATAGACTGCGACGTTTTTCGTCATCCGTGATGCACAACGCAAAAAAAAGACCGAAGGGTTCCATTTTTGACGTCTGATATCCGATCATAAGTAGCACTGAACCCCCCCCCCCCCCAAAAAAAAATTTTTAAAAGCAACTAATAATATTATGAAATTTTTTAATAGTTACATAACTTTTCCTTACATTTGGTCACCCACTCGGACCACTCCCCCTTTTGAGCAAGAGGAAGCAGTGGATGATGAAAGGAGATAATTTTTCTTTTGATTTCCTCTTTGTACATAGATTTTCTGGTAGCAATATATTGATACAGTTTTCATTAAAAAATGATCTTTTTAATAAACTCATCGAACTTTGTGTTTCTCTATCTAAATTATTTAAGTTAGGGATAAACTCAAAAAATATTATCAGTTTAAGATAGATTTAATGTTTTAACAGTCATTCCTTAGTAGTATTGAGAATTAGTTAAAAATGCCATATAATAAATACTAGAGGGAGTATAAAATAATATATCTTGGACTTAATTTTTTAAGTTGTGCACATGCTGCTCATTATTTACCATATTTGCATAACTTTCTTCCATTAATTAATTAGTCTGTACCTTTCGTGGCTAGTTTGTGACCGTGTGGTTTTAATAATAATAATAATAATAATAATAATAATAATAATAATAATTATTATTATTATTATTATTATTATTATTATTATTATATTTCCCCTCCCCCTCAATTTATTGTTGCACATTTTCTTTATTCCTTTTGTGTATATTCGTCAAGATTCGAATGGTATTGTTCAATTAATGAATCGTGCTAATGTGTCGCCAACAAATTAATGAATATAATGCATTGGTTCAATTGATCTTTTTCATATAGATCATTGAAAAAGCTTACATAAAATATTTGAATAGGGTTTCTTTATACATTTATGGTAGGCTTCAAATACATTAAAAAAAGGGGAAGGGGAAATAAGTATTGTACACACAGATACACACACACACACGTATTATTTTTTAGCCATTAAGCTCTTTACAATTTACAAAATAAAGGGAAACTAGGGGGGAAAAATTTTCTTCATGGCGAATGCCCTTACACGGAAAATTATTTTGTTGAGTTTCTCTCCAAGAGAAAAGTTGATATTGGAATTTAATGAATTTAATGGTAACTTTTTTGAAAATTTTCAGAACAAAAAATTATCCTTAATAAATTCTTTTAATCAATGTAAAGTAGTCAGGTTGGAGTTATAATAAAGAGAAAGGGGGTATTAATATGCTGTATAAAAACTTAATATCCCAAGCTATGAGTGGGGTGTTAAAGCCATTTATTGCTTTATGAGAGAAATACCTAAACTTATTTAGTTAAAGGATCTTAGGAATTAATTATAGCTTAAAGTCAACATTGTTATTTAATTTTCCATTCAATTCAAGATTTTTTTTATCCATATCACATTATTTTTTGGAATCAAATCAAACCACACGGCTAAACTATCACCCGAAGAGACAAGTAGCCCATTCCAACAATCGTTTTGTGTTTAATGAGGTTGAGACACTTTGAAGTGACTGTTGAGTTGAAAATCGATCAGAGTGATTTTTAAAGAAGTTTTAAACATCTGGTCCAATTTTAATATATTATTGTACGGAGAATCCTTTTGTACAATTCAATTCAAGTGATGAAAAATTTAACTGAAATAGCAATATTGATCAAAACCAAGAAAGTATAAGTGGTTTACTGGTTTTATTTTAAGTTTTCCGAAATGTTTGTCAGTTTGAAACCTGGGTTTGTCACGCTTATTGAGAAGTTTATTACAAAATATCATGAGAGACATTGAATTAATGTACTACCTCTAATGTTAATATAAAAGTTTGTTTACTAATTTGAGTAAATTAAAAAAACTAGTTAAATTAGTTATTTGTAACAAATAGATATTGTATTTCCTAAAATATTCTTGCTAATCAAGTGTATTAGCTAGAACTATAATTATTACAAGAACTGTCTTAGAAAAAAATGGATAAATATAATAGACAAAGTGGATTAAGTCTCATGTTTAGAACTAAAATAAAAATCAAATGAGCTCTTATATTAAAAACCAGAGGTAATATAATCTTATTTTTTATTATTATAAGAAATATATTATTTTATTTTCTCATAAAATATATGGATATATGGAGTCAAGCGAAGCATCCAGTAGGATAAAATAGAAAGATAGACTGATAGAGATCAATTATTCTGACAAGCCGTTGGAATTTCTGGGGAAAAATGTGACACTGTTTTGACGTAGAAATGGCAAAAAGCTCTGAGAGAATCTTCAAAGAGAACAGGTCCTGAATCACTTTATCCTTGTTTTTATCTGTTTTCTTTTTTATTCAATTTTTAAAATAGTTTTATAAAAAAAATTTTTGAATGCATTTGAAAAAGAATATGTTTCAATAATTGTTCTAAAATATTTGCATTTAAACAAATAAAAACTTGTTTGGAATAATTGTTTCAAAATCAACTTGCAGAACTCACTACAAGAAAACAGTTAATTAGCGACGAAATTTGTGATGGAAACAAATTATGTATATCATTAATGATGACATGATTTCCAATGGAATTTTCGACAGAATAACAAATTGGTGTTAATAATGATATCATCATCATTCATGTCATCATTATGTATATACTGAAAATAGAAAAACAATTTCTTAGAAAACTTATTTGTATTTTGTTAAAATAAATTCCTCTTGATTATTAATAATAATTAAAAAATATAATAAGAATATTAATAACTTTCTTATACAAACTGATATAAGAAAGAAATAATTTTATCATATGTAAAATATATTGAAATATATAATATATGATAGAAATTCAAAACGATTTAATAAATTTATATGAATGCAAATTAATATTGAAATGAATTTTGAATTTCAATCATTAAACAATAAAATTTAATCACGATATAATTAATACCCATGATATGGATTGATTTTGATCTTCAATACAAAAACAAATGATATATACAAAGAATTTTAAGAAAATAAATTACATAGGATATATATATATATATATATATAAGTAAGAGAATACTGTTTATCATAATCTATTCAAATTATTTAATTTTTTATATAGAATAATTTATTAGATTTTATTATAGTAGTTATTTTTTGAATAATAAGATCTTTGGACTAATTGTGAATGATTTTCTTGAAATATAGTATACAAATATAGATAATATGATATAATATAATATAATATAATACATATATTTAAAGTGTATATCTTATCAATGTTAATTAAAAAATAAATTTAAAAATATTTATAAAAAAATTATTTATGATTTAAAATTCAAATTAGTGTAGTTAGAAATTAAAAGTATATTAAAAATATTTTTTTAAAAAATAAAACATTATAAAACAAATATTTACAAATTATTTTTTCATTAAAATAGTTATGATTAAAATTATCATATAGTATAGTTTTAGTTTTTAATAATATATATGTATATATAATTGTTTGTGTAAAATAATATTATATATATATATATATTTAATTTTACATAATAAGTTAACAGGCTTATTGCAGTTCAACTGGTAAAGCCGCATGCGCGTATGGAGTAGGTCCTAGGTTCGAGCCATGGAGAAATCACTTTGAGGAGGGAATTATGTGGTGTCGACACGTGGTAAGCAAAAGTGACATGTGACATGACAGTAGGGGCAAGGTGGCAGCACACATGGCAGGTGGAGGTAAGGTGGTAGCACACATGGCAGGTGGAGGTGAGGTGCAACACACGTAACAGGTGAAAATGAGGTGGCAGTGACACATGGAGGTGATCCCCAGTGCTGTCAAGAATTAGCAATGAGAAATTTCCGTTACTAATCCGTCATTAATTAGCAACGGAATTTCAATTCCATCGTTAATCAATTAGTGATAAAGGAATTAGTGATGGAACAAATTCCATCGCTAATTCGTCGATAAATTCCGTCATGTTTTTTATAAACTCCAAATGGGAAAAAAAGTAGAAAAAGATAAAAAAAAATAGAAAATAATAAAATATGTAAAAATTGCTTCGAGTTTTTTTATAAACACTTAATTAAAAATTAATAACTAAACAATTTTTTTATTTTTTTTTTAAAAACTTAAAGTTGGTCCCAAAACAAGAAAATAAATAGGCCTTTGTTTTTTTTTTTTATCAAAAGGCCTCACACACACTATGATTTTCATACAGCTTCACAACCGATTTAGATCTTGTTTGGCATAACATTTAAAATCACTTATAAGAACATTTTATGTAAATTGAGATAAAACTCCTTCTATATACTTATCTCATATTCTGTAAATGGATATAGATGACCTAGAGCTTATATATAGCTTGTCTTCTTTTGAAACGGATATATATGGAGCCAAAAGCAAATACTCATAAAGGTAAAGATGAATGAAAAAAATTAAAATACAATATCGTATATTTTTAGAAGTCTTCAAGTTGATTTAAGGGGAAAAAATTATGATATATGGTGCATTAATGTAGAAATGGAAAGTGGTAGATGAACTAATTCGAATTTATGGGGTAAAGAGGATGAATCACGGTAATTCGTTTGATGAAATTAAAAGCTAAGGATTTTCTTACCAAGCTTGTCTCTTGCTTTTATAGGTTGCTAATTAATACAAAGGAAATGATCCTTTATCCTTGTCATTTATTTGTTGGAATTAAAATATGCATATATTTTTCACTAATGTAGCCCGCACTTGCATTGGCTGCCAATTAACTTAGTGGAATCATCAGAAATCAAAGGAACACACGGAGCAACATCTATCCACCTTTATCAAACTCCACCACCTCATTCCCAACAGATAGAAGTTAATCATAAATGCCCAGATTAAATCCTTATTCATACTATGAGAATGTTTTACTTATTTAATATGTATTATACCTTATGTAAATAAAGTTAATACAATAATAAATGAAGGATAAAATTGTATATCCATATAAATTTTTTTTAATATCTTATAAATAGGATTAAAAAATATCTTCTCTCTGCCTTATAAATTTGACTAGAGGAGTAGAAATTAATCAAGGATACCAAAATTCTCATCCATACTATGAGAGTGTTTTAGTAGGTAATTATCATGACTATTATCTATGTTTCAATAAGACCTATCAATCCCTATAAACAATTAGTCTGTTGGATTTGTAAAGTAAGTCAACTTAAATATCCTCATTAAGGATTTTCGATATACGCACACTATAATTTTCATGCCTTCGCAATCAATTTATGTCCTCGTCATAGAATTCGAGCCGTTGGATGCAATCAACGGCTCGGAACAGGGGCATTAGAGGTTGCAGTAGACACCCCTCGCCTTGCTTTTAATATCTAGCTTGAAACAACTCACTGCAATGTAAAAACTCCTAGAAAACAAAACAACTTACTACAGTAAGCAAAACAGTGTGCATACACAGCAGAAATATTAATAAAAGTAACTAACTAAAAAATCGGGCACAAATACCACAATCAAGGCATTAACAATGGATTAATGCTCTGCTTTTCTGCATGGCGAACACGTTTACACCAAGAATCCTTTGCCATTATGTCACTCTGAAAAAGTACCTTTGTATTCTTTATAAGCCATCCCATCATCCCAATCTTCTATGTGCCTTCTCAAATTCAATTAATCATATCTGAGTTTTCTTCTTTTTATGGTTCAATCTTAACAATGGCAGACCCAATTCCACCGAAGAAGACGAAGGGGCAGCAAAAGATCGAAGTCAAAGCGATGGAAGACGCTAAAAAGCGCAGTGTCACCTTCACAAAACGTAGAGCTGGCCTTTTTAAGAAGGCAGACCAGCTCTGTGCTCTCATCAGCGCCGAGGTGGCTCTCATGGTGATCTCTCCGGGAGGCAAGCCGTTCACGTTCGGCAGCCCCGACGTCGACGCCGTGATAGCGAGGTACAAGAGCCAAGTGCCACAGTCGCCGACGGTGGATCAACAGAAAGCTGAGCTTAAGGAAATCATGGAACAGTTGGCGTACGAGGATAAGCGAGCAGAGGAACTGAAGCAAAGAAGGAGAGAAATGCATAACGAAACGTGGATGGCTGCGCCATGTCAAACTCATTCTAAGGCTCAGCAAAAGATCATGAAGGAGCGACTAACGCAGTTGTGTAAAATATTCTCTCAACCTCCAGGCTTCCATAACTTTCTTGGGCTGTTCTCCGAATCGCCTCCGGATTCGACCTTTGAGTTCCCAACTTGTTCTCTTACTGCGTTATTGACTCAGAATCCGGAGCTCCAAGAAAGTCTGAGGCTTTCATTTCGGCTCAGTGGAAATCAGAATTTTGGAGGTAACGTGATACCTACACCGCCTCGTAACTTCTACACCGGTGAATCGTCATCGTCTGCGATGGCGGCAGTGACTCAGAATCATATCTTTGAGAATAATATGATGATGAACAATCATGACAACTTCTCCACGGAAGAATCGTCGTCAATGGTGCCGGCGGGGACTCAGAATCATATGTTTGATAATAGCATGATACTTACACCCCCTGGTAACTTTTACCCAGGCAAATCGTCATCGTCGGCGCCGGCGGGGGCTCAAAATCATATGCTTAACGACAACATGATGCTGAACAATGATGACAACTTCTACACAGGCGAATCATCGTTAGTGGTGCCGGCAAGGACTCAGAATCATATGGCTGATTACAACATGATACTGAGCAGCCATGCCAACTTCTTCACAGGCGAATCGTCATCAATGGTGCCGGCGGAGACTCAGAGTCATATGTTTGAGGGTAGCATGATACTGAACAGCCACGGCAACTTCTCCACAGGCGAATCGTCGTCAATGGTGCTGGCAGAGACTCAGAATGATATGTTTGAGGGTAGCAAGATACAGAACAGCCATGACAACTTCTTCGCAGGTGAATCTTCGTCAATGCTGCCGCCGGGGACTCAACAGAGTCATATGTTCGGGGATAATATGATGCTGAACAACAGTGACAACTTCAACACATGTGTATCCTCGTCAATGGCATCAGAAAATCAGAGCATAATGTTTGATGATGACATGATGTTGGCAGTTTATGGTAACTTCTTTACAAGTGGATCCTTGACAGAAGAACTGGCTTTGAATCAATTTATTGATGAAAACATTATGAATCCTCCACTGGATAACTCCAATACATATCAGTCCTTGACGGCCTTGCCACCGGCTGGTGGGAATCAAACATCTGATGAAAACATTATGGTTCCTCCGCATGATAATTACCACACGTATGAATCTACGGTGGTGCCGGCGGCATCTGATGATGAGAGTCTGCTTTTCGACGAAAACTTGAGGTTCTTTCTGGGTGATGAATTCTTCGCAAGCAGTTACTCTATGGTGCCGCCGGAGCAACGTCAAACGTTTAATGAAAATGTGATGCCTCCGCCGCCGCAGCCTCCGCCTTGTGATGAATATGGTCCTGGATCTTCAGGGTTCAACTGATCTGCTCCTTCGCATTGTGTCTCATGTTACTGGCTGGTTCTGCTTCAGTGTCTCTGAGTGTTGATGAGTTGTGTTTTCTTTTCTCCCATGTTCTGACCAATAGTGACGAGGAAGAGATAGGGTCCAGTTCAAAAAGTTAGAGGGAGTATACATAGCCTCGGCCTTGCATAGTAGTTTGTCTTCTTCTGAAAGGGACATAAATATATATATACACACACATATATATTTATGGAGCCAAGAGCAAATACCCCATAAAGGTGAAGATGAATAAAAAATACAATATCGTATATTTTTACAAGTCTTCAAGTTGATTTAAGAAAAAAGGATACTGTGTTCTGGCTAAAAGAAAAGGAAAAAGAAAAAAGATACAATGGTCCATTAACGTAGAAATGGATCAGTGGGAGGTTAACTGATTAGGGGTTGAAGAGGATGAATCTCGGTAATTTGTGTGGTGAAATTAAAAGGTAAGGATATTTTTACCAAGCTGTGCTCTGCTTATATAGGTTGCTAAACAAGAGAAAGGGAATGAATCCTTGTCATTTATTTGTTGAAATTTAAAGATACTTTCTTTCTTTTGTTTTTATGAATATAGCCCCTGATTGCTTTGGCTGCTAATTAACTTGTTGGATTTTTTTAATTTGAATAAATACTGAAATCGTTCCAAATGATTTGTTAGATAATCAGCATAAGAGGTGGAGGTGGAGATGGAGGTTAATAATGATATAAACAACAAGCTTGTTGGATTTGTAAATTAAATGTCATTATTGAAGAGTGAACAATAAAGAGAAACAAATTTTGAGGAGCCGTCCAATACATTATTGTTTAATGTTTTTTGGTGAACATTATTGTTTAATTAAAACCAGCATTTTATGGTATCTTTGAATGTGAATTGGAATTATTTTGATGTAGGATATAAGAGTATCTATAAATGATTTTGAAAGATCCTATCATTTGAAATAAACTCCAATGTCCAATGCTTAATAATTTTCTCAGAAAAACTAACATTTAAATATCTAAGCTATTAGTTTACCTTGTAGAACATTAATAATGATGATGGAGAAGTAGACACTGCTCATATATGAAAATCTAGCTTACACAGTTAACATTCTGAGAACTATTAATATAGTCCACATATCCTTAATATCAGATATATTTAATTAATTTGATTAGGTTAAGTAAGTTAGACAAGTTAATTAACTATAAAAAAAATGACATATTTTTTCTAAAACACTATAATCATATTTCTTAATATTACATCCCCTCTCTTATTTAATTATAGTTGAAGGAGTATCAATAAGAGATAATATAGAAAAAATTAATAAATATAAGAACTAGGTATTACATTTAGCATCAAAATCAACTCAATAATCCCAACATTAAGGACCGGAGGAGTACATTATAATATCTCATAAGAGTTGTCATCATTAAACATATTAACTTGTTAAGTTCTTTCTTTGGTTTTTTTTTTTGGCCACTTGTTAAGATCTTTCATTTCTACAAAATTATGCTTATTACTTGACACTTCATCAAGCTGGGGATGCTTTGATCTAGCATGAATGATGAGTTGGACTTCATTATCGCAATAACTAACAAGCATTAAGCTTATGTTGATCTCCAATTCCACTGTTGAAGATAGAATCCAGTTATGTTTCACTCCAAACAGAAACCGAGCTTCTATATTCAGCCTGCCTTGTTAACACAACAGTTCAGCATTAATTTCTTGATCCATAGAATGCTAAGATTCTTTCCTATAAAAGTGAAAACCGTCACTACTGCATACAAAATTTTTTACGTTCGTTGGTCGGGAAGAGCTTTTCATCATATTGGTCTGGGAGGGGTAACACATGAGTGTACGTAATAGTATGTTCTAAACTTACGTCGGTAAAACAAAATCAATTCCTACGTCCAACTGATGTAGACACACTTTAAAAATCTAGTTTAAAATGCTAACTCATTTAAAAATATTAAGAAAATTAATTAATTTAGTTATTTGCCGCAAATATATGTTGGTCTCCCTAAATATTATATTTAGTCATATGCATTAGATAATTGGAAGTATCCCTTACTATAGCCACCTACAATCAATAAGAATATTTTGAAAAAAGATAGGAGATAAAATAAATTAAAATTTTATATTTAGAATTAAATCTAACCTCTTAACTAATTCTTATATTAAGAATTGGAGTTGTGGTAGTATTACATAGTAACGAGAGTTTTTATGCCGGATAGATGAGTTAAAAGGTTTTTAACGTGTCACTGTCTTTTTTTTTTTCTTTTTTTTCCCTTTTTTAACCGAGGTAGAAAACTTTTTTATGTGGTAGTGAGTTTGTGTACAATTTTTGATAGTCCAAGTTCAATGCCCAATGAGCATCATATATGGCCCGCCCCTCAGCTGCAAATCTTTCCTTTTTTAATCTTTCTCTTTGCCCGCTCAGCTGCAAATCTTTTAAACATAACGATAAAACTCAATTTTTATATATTTTATTTTATATTAATTTAGGATTTAAATAATAATTTTGAACTTAAATGGATTCTTGTTCATTATTAAATTGATTGGTTGATTTTTTAATTTTTCATTAAAAATTAAAATTTTGGATTAAAACTATCAATATTTTGTGATTTCCTATTTTCAGTTTGTAATTAATATTTTCTCTTTCTTTGGAAACAAGTCTCATATTTTTACAAAGATTAAATTTTAAAAAATTTTGCAATTTCTTACCTAATTTTTGTGCATATCTAATATTTAATTTTGATATAAATTATATTATATTTAGATATAATCTATATTAATGGATGCAATTAAATTTTTGTAGGTCAAGAAAGAGCATATAAGAAATTTAATGGTGTAAGATTATTTTTTGAAATTTAAGCACAATCTAACGGCTAATATCAAATGGGTTAATAGAGTTGGGAATTCGGGCCGGTCCTGCAGGGCTGCCGGATTTAAAAGAGCCAGTCCTACAAGGCCAAAATTTCAGAAATATCCCAATTTACTAAGCCCGGCTCTTATGTTGATTGGGTCGGGTCGGCCCGCAGACTTTTGGCCCGTTTAAGAAAAAATTATTTTTTATATTTCTCATATTTTTATACAAAATAAAACAAACCAATAAAATAATTAATAAAAGACATAACTATAAATAAAATAAGTTACAAATACAAATATTATGGTATCTAAATATCCATCAACGTCTAAAATATTTATCAACAAAACAACAATATCTAAAAATTTCATTAATAGTACAAATGTGTAATAGGAAAACACTATAATTAATTTTTTGAAACTTTATTATCATTATAATCAAGTGTTCTTTTTTTTTTGTAGCAAAAATATGAATTTTTTATAGGAATTTCACTTTTAAATTTTATAATCTGACTATTATTTTATTTTAGTTTGAAAAGTATTATTATTGAAACTCATAAATTTCTAATTTAAAATATAGAATCACATCACAAGTTACATAAGTATAAAAATACTCTCTTATAAAATATATATAGCTTTAAAAATATCAACATATATAATATAAATCAAATCATTATTAAAATTGAAATTAACTTATTTTTAAAAATTTAATTGGATAAATAATTGTCTAAAACCAAATAAATTAAACCATTATGTGAAATTTAATTTCAAAATAATAATAATAACTAAATATTTGAAATATCATTAATAATGTAAAAAAATTAATAATATGATAATTATATAAAAAATTTAAAAAAATTAAGAGGACCTAAATGGGCTGGTCCTAGGTCCTACAGGACCAGTCTGTTTAAACCCTCAATCCTACAGGACCAGTCCTTTTAAGCCCGTTTCTCATTTGAAGGAAAAATTCTCAAACCCAGTATTTACAATTTTTGGGTATAAACAGGCCAGCCTGATGAGTTTGGCCTGTTTTTCCAACTCTCTGAGTTAATTAATTACTAATATATTTGAGTTTTGGATTAAAAAAATTTCTTTTCTCCAATTAAAATACTCCCTTCATTCCATAGTCATGCTCTCACGCTCACTCTCGACGCAATCAAAAAAAGCTCTCTCTCAACGGTTTTCATCTTCAACGCCTACTCCATCACTTACTCATCAAATATCTATTATTCCCATCCCCCCAGTCGCGCTGATTGTTTTCAATCGTCCACCCAACGTCATTTTTATTACTCATTACGTCACATGTCCATGAATTGCACTAAGGAGCTTAGGGAAGGAGACATGTTGATGGAAGCTTGAGCTTGCTAGGGAGAAAATTTGGGAGGAGTGTGGATGAGGCTTAAACCTTAGGCTAATATTTGAAGACCACTAGAGAGTGATATTTTATTTATCTTTTTTAGTTCAAAGACTTGAGATTATTTAGTTTTAAATAATTTTGAGTTGCATTTTTATGAGACAATCTAAAACCTTCATGCTTGGATTGGATTGATATTTGGATTTTATTTGTGATGAAACACTTACTGAAATTTATGTTTGTGAGCCTTTGTATTGTTAACTAAATTTATAATTGAGTTTTCGTTATAGATTTACACTACAAAAAAACAGGAGATTAGCGACGAAAATTAGTGACGGAATTTCCGTCACTAAACTGTTTAGTGACGGAAATTCCGTCGCTAATCCGTCAAAAAAAAATTTGCGACGGAATTTGCGATGGAATACGTTCCATCACTAAAAAGGCCGTCACTAATTGATTTGTGACAGAAATAAAGAATCCGTCGCTAAGTTAGCGACGGACTTGTGACGGAAATCCGTCACAAATGTTGTGACGGATTTGTGAGGGAGTTGCCTGTCACTAAATTGTGACGGAATTTCCGTCACAAAATTGTGACAGACTTGTGATGGCCTTTCCGTCACAAATTTGTGACAGAATTGTGACGGAATTTCCGTCAAAAAAGTGCACATATTTGTGACGGAAATTCCGTCACAAATTTATGACGGAATTGTGAGTTTTTTGACGGAATATTCGGTCACATGTTAACAACGAATTTGTGACGGAACTGTCCGTCACAAATTAGTGACGGAATTCCCTGGAAAATCCGTCACTAATGTTCCATGGTTTTTTTCCTGATTATATATGTTTAGAGACGGAAGTTTCGTCACAAATCCGTGGAAAATTTTTTATTTTTAAGTTTTTTTTTAATTTTTTGTTTCAAGCTGCATTTTGTGTAAGAAACAAATTGAAATTATAATTATAATGTAGCTAATATTCAAACCAAATTAAAATAGCAATTGTCATAACAAGCAACAAATCTAAAAATGTCAAGTCCCAAATTAAAAAGCAATATTTATAACAAGTCTAATATTAAACAAACTACTAATTATCATTATGTGGACTTGCTTCACTTTGAGTGCTGGAGTTGATAGGCGACCCAGTTGAGAATTTTCGCTCAAGTGCTTCCAACCTAGACAAGATGGTGACATTCAATTGTCTAAGATCTTCATTTTCTTGTTTAAGCTCTGAGACAATATTCTGAAGATCAAGTTGGCCTTCTGTGTTGATGGAAGGAGGAGACATATGAGAAGAATGTTGTGTGCAATCATTATGCTGGGCATCAGATCCTAAGCCATAGATTCGACCCTTCTTGTTCTTACCACCTGCAGCCTGCAACCAAATCCTCATTTCTTCACCATCTAACTGATTTGATTCCTCCACACTTGGAGAACCAACACTGGAACTCTTGGATGCCTTGATCCTCATGTAATGTTCCTATGAAAAAAGAAAGTAAAAAATTCAAAATATAAAAGCATTGACAAGCACACAAATAGGCAATTCTCAACGAATCTGAAAAACAACAATCCAGAGTGAACAAGCCTTGAAATAGCTACTGGCAGAGACCAAAATCTAATGATGCAACCTCAAAGCCTTAAAATACCATAAAATAACTTCCAAATATAAAACTCATCAATACGAGAAGCATGCACAATTAGAAGATCTACATATTTCTATTACTATTACCATTATTATTATACCACCAGTAAGGCATTTTCAAAGGCTAGGAACTAAAGACGGCTAAATTCCCATCCTTCCATTGAGCAAGCAAAAAGAAATTATTATTCCTATTTTAATTCAATTGGGGGGAAAGACTTACCTGAGAAACAAGGGGGTATATAGCTAGACACTTTCCCCAAAAAAAGGACAAAAAAGAGAGCTATCGATGCTAAAAAATATGAGGCTAACCAAACCCTCCACATTATGTGAATGAGTTTACAATTAAAACAAAAAATTTATTTAAAAAAAACAAACCAAACCAAACCAAACCAAACAAAACAAAAAAAAGAAGACTACGGGTTCTTAACGTAAGAGAGGCAGTAAAAAGCAACATGTCCCTTATCATATGAGATGACAATGAAATGGCCCTAAGATATGCATTCTTTTTTCTTTCCCTCTTTTTTAGATGAAAAGGTCTACAAGAATTCAACGGCAATTTTTGTCCGCATCTATATGGGATAAACGTGATAACAAACACTTCTCAAGAATTCCATTTCTGAAATAAATACAAAAGTTATTTATATTATTAAAATACATAGGATGTCATTGTTTTGAGCATACAGCACCTGAAAAGCAGGGCAAAGATAGTTTTTATGCAGTTTAGATCTCTTAAAAAAGGTCCAGAAGTATTATTCTCAACTAGCAGATGACATGAAAGAGGCACAAAAAGAGAAATTCAGAGGTGTGCTTAGATTGAGAAGGAAAGTGAAATTTTAATGTTAATATTTTATTTAGATTATAAAGCTAACATTTTTCTTCCATTCTCCCCATTCAAATCTAACTCCAAGAACATTCAAATTTTAATGTTAATATTTTATTTGATTTTATGAAATAATGTCAATTAATGGATCGGAACAAAACAAATTAAAGTCTCATTTTCATCGATGACAATGGAAATCACCATTGAAAGTATGCCTTTCAAAACTTTTGGTATGAACTATGGCATTAATTAATCAGAAGCAAAAGCGTGAAGATTTTGATCGATATAGAATGTAATCATATTTTAATTAGATTATTTAACCCTACTAAATATATAGTTGATGCAAACTAGTAACCACAAGTAAAGAAGTAAAGACCCACACTACAACTAGTCAGGCCTCAGGCCATCAGTACAGCTCTACAGAAAAAGATTCTGGAAAAATATATACTTACAGAAACTTCAGCTGACCTAATATCCACAAATTGGTTAGTTTTGACATCAAAGTGCGTCTTTGTGAACAATTCATATTGAGTAGGATTTCTTCCCAACTGCAAAGCCTGTAGTCATTTATAAAAAAAAAAGAATTATATCATGCATTAACTAGTTATTTATAAAAAATGATCATGTCATGCATTAAATAATTAAAGATAACAGCTGAAAATAAATATAATTCTCACCAGCCTCCTTCTATGTTCAGTATTAGGAATGCTGCCCCCTTTGTGTTGAGTGCCTCCTGTGGAAGAGGCCCGATTGACTTTAGCTGTGTTATACTTGGACTTATAATTTTCTGATGTCCATATTTCCTCTAAATCATCCATCACATTAGGTGGAATCCAATTAGGCCTCATTTGTTTCAGAAACAGATCCTTCCGAACATTATGCATTGTATGTCTTATGATTTCTGCGCACTTTAAGTTCCAATTTCTCCTAATAGCAACTTCATGTTGTGGCAACCATTTAAATTGTTTTTGCAGAAATAAGAAGAAAAACAAAATCATGTTCTATAATAGAATGAGAGAAAAACTAAAGACATAATAAAAATATAATGAACTTATATACCGCCCATTCCCTAAACCACAAGTCCTTAATTTGAGGGGGTGTCACCTTCCAAGTACAGCATGGGTGTTCAAATTTTCCTTGAATGATAGGAAGAATATTTCGCACAGGAATAACAGCAGGATTAAACCTAATCATAATTTTTTTAAAAACAATTCACATATTAGAATGGCTTTAAGCAGCTGAATAAAAATATCAGATAAACTAATGGGAAGTTGATTACTTACGTTTTATTCTCAGGATATACCCACATCCGATTATCTGAGGGATCAATACCCCATGGGTTGGAACTAGCAGGAGAACCTTGAGTTGGGTTTTATGAGGCTTCTGTTCCAAGAGATGGGATTGAAGGAGATGATGCAGGTGATATCAAGGGTCTCCTAATTGGTTCAGACATGACTGGAGATGATGTATGCATAGATGGTTGAGGAAGAGAAGAATTTTCAGGTTGGTGAGGCAATTGTGCAGATGCTGTAGTTCCACATGGGACTCTACGCTGCGCTTCACCAGTTGACATCTATATATCCAAATTTGAAGATTGAGTTGAGTTAGTAATAAATAATAAATAAATCATCACAGAATTCAACAAAATTAAAACTAGATACTAGAGGCAATGAAGGTCTAGTGGATGGTTCTGCCACATTAGGAGCGGAGGTCACAACTACATGAGGAATTGATGTTTCAAGTTGCTGAGGCAATTGTGGAGGTGTGGCAGTACTCAATCGGATTTTACGCTTTGCACTTAGATTTGACATCTGCAAATTCAAATTTCAATATTAAGTAAGTAATAGGCAATAAATACTCATGCAAAATGAATCAAGATCAAAACTGAAAAATCAATGCAATCAAAGTCAAATTGAAAACTAAATAGTAGTAGATTATAATATGTTAACCATAATTCATCCATCTTCATCATTGTTGTTGATGTCATCATCGTCATCGTTGTCATCATCATCATCAACTTCTATATAGAAATCTTCTTCACCATCATCTGTGTCTTCCTCGACTTCATCTTCACCATATTCATCTTCTTCATCTTCCTCAACTTCATCTTCGTATTCATCTCCTTCATAAACCATGTTCTCAGTTGCCATATCCACCTCTTCATAGAAAATTTCAGAATTTATTTGGTTATTCAATTCAGCATCATCAATAATTGCTGGCAGTATGACTTCTAACCCATCTGCTTGAAATGCCTCTAAGTTTATTGCACATGTAGGAGCATCAATGATATTACGAGCCTTCACCTTAATAGCAGCTAACCAATTTGCCTTCTGACGACAACAAGGATAAGAGGTGTAGTATACTTGCATTGCTTGTTGAGCAATAATGAATGGATCATACTTGTTGTACCTTCGCAATCCATGAACTTCAACAATCCCATATTGTTGATAAACCCTTGTACCACGATTTGGTGTCGGATCAAACCACTCACAATTGAATAATACTAATTTCTTTACAGGAAGCCCCATATATTCAATCTCTATAATCTCCTGTACAATACCATAAAAGTCATGTTCTGATTGTGCATAGTCAGCGCCTTTAATGCATACACCACTATTTATCGTTGATTTTCGAAGGGCCCATGAATGTGTATGAAACTTATACCCATTAATAAAGTACATAGGCCAAGTTCTAACTTTTCTCTTCGGGCCCCAAGCAATGTCATGTAAAAATGGATCCACAATGTTGTTGTTATGATTTTGAACCTACGTAACAAGGATCAATGAGTATTATGGTAGATAATGCCTATTTGATGATACCAAATTGAAAGCAATCATACTTACATGATTTTTAAACCATGAGGGAAATCGTTCATTGATCTGGGATTCAATCTCATTTTCTGTGATTTGACAATTATCTTCCTTCAATGTTTGTACAAATAACCTACATGACAAATAATGTGTCTGTAATGCATATATTTGACATAAGGTTTGATCACAACCAAAGATCACTTACATCATATAAGGTTGCACCTCATCACAATTCATTAAAACATATCTTTTGGCAGCTTCTACTTCCTCATCATTCAAGAAACGAGCTTTACATTCCCCAGAAGGTCTTCCCGGATGGTTAAATATGGAAATTACTGGCAAATTTGATTCTCCACCATCATCATTTCGTAGAGGTCTTGTTATTCTTGGTGGCATACCCGGCTCAAAGTAGTGCGAGCAAAACATAGCGGTCTCCTCAACTATATAAGCTTCACATATAGACGCTTCAACTCGGGCTTTGTTCTTGACCTTTTGTTTCAAGGTATAAAGGAATCTACAAAAATGGATATGTTGTAAAAGCTAACATTGACTATTGTATTTATTACATACAAAGAAACCAACAAAAAGAAATTTCATTACCTTTTAAATGGATACATCCATCGATACTGAACTGGTCCACCAACCTTAGCTTCATAAGCAAGATGGACAGGCAAATGCTCCATTGAGTCAAAAAAACCAGGAGGAAAGACCTTCTCCAATTTACATAATGTCACAACAATATTTTGCTCTAATATCTCAAGTTGATCTACCATCAAGGTGGTAGAACAAAGTTGTTTAAAGAATTGACTAAGCTCCGCTACAGGATTAAATACATCATCTGGCAAAGTAGCAAAGGCAATGGAAACCAAGCGTTCCATGAACATATGACAATCATGACTCTTCATTCCATATAACCTTGCTTCCTTCATATCAACACATCGAGCTAGATTAGATGCATACCCATCGGGGAGCTTCAACTTCTTTATCCATTGAACAATCGCTTTCCTTTGTTCTAAATTCAAAGTATATTTTGCAATTGGTTTCATCATTTTTCCTCCTCTATCAACAAGTTCATTTTCCTTTCGTCGACAATATTCTTGCAAGTCCATTCGAGCTTGTGTATTATCTTTTGTTTTTCCTTTTGTGTCCATGACAGTATGAAACAAATTTTCAAAAACATTCTTTTCAATGTGCATAACATCAAGATTATGTCGAATGAGATTGCTTTTCCAATATGGTAATTCCCAAAATATGCTTTGTTTGGTCCAATGATGAATGTCATTATAGCCTTCAGTTGGTATAGTTGTTCCATATTCGGTGACCTTTGGTAAATTTTGTACTCTATGCCAAACTTCCTCTCCACTTAACCGGGAAGGAGGCTTTGATTTCTCAACTCTGTTATTGTAAAATGAGTTTTTGTTTCTCCTGAATCGATGATCAATAGGAAGGAATTGATGATGACAATCAAAGAAAGATGTTTTCCTCCCATACTTTAATTGGAATGCTTTTGAGTTCTCCATACATATAGAACACGATAATCTCCCCATTGTCATCCAACCAGACAACATGCCATATGCAGGAAAGTCATTAATTGTCCATAATAATGCAGCACGCATGTGAAAGTTTTGTCTCAATGAGGCATCATACGTTAGCACACCCTCATCCCATAACAATTTTAATTCATCTATCAATGGTTGTAAATACACATCTATTTTTCCTTTGGGATTATTAGGACCAGGGATAATTAAAGTCAAAAACATATATTCTTGTGTCATACACAGCTCGGGTGACATATTACATGGAGTAATAATTACAGGCCAACAAGAATATTGTCTCCCTGATTGCCCAAACAGTGTAAATCCATCAGCACATAACCCAAGCCTCACATTTCGTGGATCATGAGCAAAGTCAAGATATGTACTATTAAAAACTTTCCATGCTTGGCCGTCAGAGGGGTGAGAAAGGACATTGGTGCCTCTACGATTCGTATAGTGCCATGTCATTTCCTTTGCTGTTTTCTCAGAGGCATACAATCGCTGCAATCTTGGAATCAAAGGTAAGAACCACAACTGTTTCCTTGCAACTTTCTTTTTCCTTCCATGACACCTTCTTGAGAAATATCTTTCCTCACCACAAAACTTACATTGCGTTGCACTATCATCAGCTTTATAGTACAACATACACCCATTCACACAACAATCAATCTTTCTATAATCAAGACTTAACTTTGACACCAACTTTTTTGTTTGGTACAAGTCTGTAGGCATACAAGTATCTTTAGGCTGTGTCCTCCTTATGAGTTGGGAAATTAAATTGTATCCTTGTTGTGACATGTTAGTTGTTGCCTTAATGCTTAATAATTGCAAAGTTGCTGAAAGTTTAGACTCTTCGCAGCCTTCCCACAATGGTTGTTGTGCAGCATGTAACATGTCATAAAATGCTCTTGCATTTGGATTTGGCATCTCTTCAATACCTTCATTATAATTATCCCTAAAACTTGGCCCAGCTACATCCATCACTATAGTCTCATATTGATTTAGTTGGTTATTGATTGGCTCATGTGAGGCATGTATGGCACTTGGTATTGAAGACAAAGGAGAATGATATTGTATTTCTGCTTCACCATGACTATTCCATATATAATACTTTGGCATGAATCCAAATTTATAGATGTGTGTCTTCACCTCATCAACAGTTAGATATGGCCTACATTTACATTTGACACACGGACACCTAAGCTTCCCTGATGTTTGAGAATAAGGTGCCCTTAAAGCATAGGTAAGAAACTCCTCAACACCTCGTTGGAAATCTTGCGTATACCATTTAGTGCTCGGATCTACTCTATTATACATCCATTTTTGATTTTGTAGGACTTCCATTGAGTAAATGAGTGTTTCTAGCAATGTAAAATCAAAATGTAGCAACTTTTCAGCACCCCCAAATCTTTATAATTTAAGTGCGTAAATTTTTTTAGGTAAAATTATGTGCTCTAACAACAACTAACCCTATATTCATTCATGAAGGTACCCCTAACAGATTGAAAACCCTATCAATGGGTCTTCCATCTTGCATTAGCATTACTAAAGTTCTTGTCTATTTATAAATACACATAAAGAGGGAAAAGACAAGCATTAGCAGCAAAATTTTGATTTTGTATCTATTTTGAAGTCACATTATTGATGTTATAGTCTCATAATTAGATAGGGTCCCAATAACTCTCAAGTGTACATATATGTTAATTATTACACATGCTGAATAATAGTCTTAATGTTCAAGTTTCATTAACTTTGCTGGCTCATATTAAAACTCATTCATACCACCTTTATTTATGTTATTAAGACATGCTTTCGTAACATTATACGAATCCTAATAGACAATCTCTAGTATTATATATCATAAGAGTAAATGAATTAATTTAATTGCAATCTTTGATTAGAGGTTCAAGGCTAACCGTTAATTCAGTCCAAAAAAGACTTCGAAACATCATTTAGGAAAAATACAGTTTAATGGGTGATTTAAAAATGAAAACTTTGAATAGACACAAGAACCCATACACCTTGAGCTATGTTATGACAGTATTTGTCAGGTTGGTCACCAATATGTTGAAACTTTAGCGTCTTAAAAGATCAAAGATCACAAATATGTAGTGGATGTCTATGTTCATTTCCTTGCAGGGAGAAAATAAAACAAAAAAAATTGTCTGCAAAAAGGAACAAAATATAGGAAATAAAATAAAATGCAAATCTTGATGGTAGGTGGTGGTGGTTTGAGTTCTTCATATATAGCAAAGTAAACAGATATAGAGGTAAAACAAATCAATAGACCCTTACTCTTGGATAGTTAACTTAAATATTGCAACATGAACCACGTCTGTGGTATTTCTGGTAAATTTGATGTCATACCCTTCTCTGTTCGTGAGGAGGAATTAAGAAAGAGCTTCCAACTGCAAGGAAAAAGTTTAGTTATTATATTTTTTTCACTTCCTTCACTATTTATTTATGTATTGTTTGTTTGATACAATGTTAGCTTAATGATATCAGTTTAATGTTAAGATTGGTTACAGGTTGCTGATAGACTCACCAAGAGAAAAAAGCTCATTCCAGAATGGTTAATTAACTTGTCACAATGCTATTATTTTTTTGAGTGAAACAATGCTACTATATTAACTCATTAATAAGATCTTACTCTAAGGATTAAAGTATAAGCCAATTTCAATATCATCATCTATAGATGAAGTGCTTTATGTTGTGTTGATGTTTCTAGGGATAATATAAATTACAATAAGTTAGTGTTATTAATTACACTAATTGAAGCACGGGATAGTATTTTCTAGTTATATATCATAAGAGTAAATGAATTAATTTACTTGCAATCTTTGATTGAAGGTTCAGGGCTAACAGTTTAGAAGCAGACACAGATAAAGCAGAAATACATTCAAAGCACCGAAATTTATTTAAGTCAAACTGAAAATTTATATTGTTTTTAGAGATAAACATGCAACCGATTTTAAGAAGAATCAAATTCAAAAGGAGCAACCGCTAGAGGATTACAATGGTTTAATGGAGGAAGTAAGAGAGCTTATGGGAAGAGAATGGCAACTCAGGTTCAAAGTAATATACAAAGAAGCTAATGCGTGTGCTGACAAGATGGCGCATCAAGCTTTCCTTTAATCCGAAAGGAAAAGAACTTGGGTAATACCTCCAATAGAGTTGGGAGAACAATTGCACAAGGATCTATTGGGCATCAGGACTCCAAGACAAGTTCGCATAGTTTACCATAATCTTTTGGTTTTGTATTCTGTTTAGTTTATCTTTATTCACCAAAAACGAAAAACAAAAAGAAGAAAAACTCACCTTGAGGTTGCAAGAGTTGAAGAAAGAAGTCGAAGCAGACCGAGGAGAACACAGACGGTGATTACGTTGGCCGGTGATAGCGTTGCTGGCGATGAAAGTTGGAGGAGGAAGTCGATGTTGCTAACAAAGGAAGATGATTGAAGAGATTTTGTCACTAATGCGGTGGAGATGAAGTAGAAGGTGAAGTGTGGTGAAGATAAAGTGATGAGATCTAGGGCTCAAAGAGTGGCGCTATGGAAAAAGAGGGGTTGAAATGAAGTGGCGGCTATGGAAAAAGCATTGGCGGCAATCTTGCATTTTTCCATTAGGTGCCGAAGAGTGAATTCAAAATGGTGAGCATTGAGCACAATTACACTTATTATTTAATAATAAATGGATTCAAAACGGTGAGCACTGAGCACAATTACACTTATTATTTAATAATAAACTTCAAATTATATACGTTTAATAAAAAACTTTAATTATATACATTTATCTGAAAATTGTTTTTACAATTAAAAAATCAAACTATTAGTTTCACAATTAATTAATTCTTCTTAAGAATAAATATTCCTAATTCCTCCATTATAATGATGTAAAAGTCGATAAATGTAATAAAAAGCATATCATTAAGTGACTATACATCAATAATTATTAAAAGTGAGATAATAAATATATTAGCCATTTTTAATTCAACTAGGTGTTGCAAGATATTAAAAAGTTAAATTGTTTTCACAATTAAAAAATAGAAAATTGGGGATGAATCCCCAATTGAAAATTTAATTAGCAAATAGGATCTACTATGATTGATTGCACAAGGAAATATTAGTTGTACACAAAGGAAGGTAAGTTGCATAAAGAAAAAATAGTTTGCACAGAACATTATTTGAATATAAGAAATTATTTTGCACATAGGAAAGATGACTTGTATATAAAAGAATTTTATTTGCATAAAGAGAAATTGAATTACACATTGCACACACAAAATTATTGTACACAAGGAAAGATAAATTGCACACAAAGAAACTTAAGTTACATATAATAGAAATTAAGTTGCACAAAGTTCTTAGGTCCCATTTACAAAATAAATTTTTAATAAGGGATTTATTTCCAATTTTTTCTCAAAAAATCAATGTATTAGTTTTCCGATTAATTAATTCTTTTCAAGAATCAGCATTCCTAATTCCTTTGTTATAATGATGTGAAAGTCAATAAATATAATTAGAATCAAACCATTAAGTGACATCAATAATAATTCTTAAAAGTGGATAATATATATTAGCTATTTTAAATTCAATTGGGGGTTATAAGACATTAATAAGTTAAATTGTTTTCATAATTAAAAAATCAATGTATTAGTTTCCCGATTAATTAATTCTTTTAAAGAATAAACATTTGTAATTCCTCCATTATAATGATGTGAAAGTCGATAAATGTAATGAAAATCATATTAAGTGACTATACATCAATAATTATTAAAAGTGAGAAAATATATACATATATTAGCCATTTTTAATTCAATTGGGTGTTACAAGACATTAAAATGTTAAATTGTTTTCACAATTAAAAAATCAATGTATTAGTTTTTCGATTAATTAATTCTTTTTAAGAACAACTATTCGTAATTCCTCCATTATAATGATGTGAAAGTCGATAAATGTAATGAAAATCATATTATTAAGCGACTATACGTCAATAATGATTAAAAGTGAGATAATATATATTAACCATTTTTAATTCATTTGGGTGTTACAAGATATTAAAAATTAAAAAGATAGATCAAGTAAACCACCAACACTTTATACGTCTATATGAAAACATTTATCCAAGTTTAATACCATCATCTCTCACTTGCCTCAAGCCTTCTTGTTATGTTAGAGTTCATAAATGGAGGTATGTGGATTAATTCACATAGTAAAGTAATTGAAATTCTTATATTCTCTTGCTTATTTACTTATCATTAGGTTACAAGGAAAAAAGAAAATTATCACTAAGTTATAAGAAGAATTGATTTTAACACAAATATAAACAACTCTATTAATAGTATTAATAATCAAGAGGACCTAATAAAAATAATTCAATTCTTATATCAAAATAAAAAAATTTCTTTCTTTTTTTGTAATTAAAAATAATTTTTACATAATATAAACAACTATTTCAAATTTGTGACGGATTTGCGACGGAATAGTGACGGAAATTTGTCACGAAAATTAGTGACAGAAATTAGTGACAACTTAGTGACGGTAGTTGTGTTAGCGACGGAAATTTGCCACAGAAATATTTCCGTCACAAATTTCCGTCGCAATTCCATCCCTATTTTCGTCAAAAAATTTGGCTTATCTCGTGACAAAATTAGGGACGGAATTGCGAGGGATTTGTGATGGATTTGTAACACCTTTTTGACAAAATTAGCCACGGACTTTGGCGACGGAACTGTGACGGATTAGTGACGGATTTTAATGACGGAAAAAATTCCGTCGCTATTTTGTCGCAAATCGTGTTTTAGTGACGGTTCCGTCACTAAATTTCGTGGCAAAGCCTTCACAGTTCCGTTGCTAATATTTGTGACGGCTTACTCGCAGCGATGGATTTGCGACAGAACAGAATTCCATCGCTAAATCCGTCACTAATTCACTGTTTTTTTGTAGTGTTAATTATCAATGTAGTTTGAATTACAAATTTGGGTTCTTTTGTCTCTTGATTAATGTGTTTAATTTAGTTGGTAAACTATCTAGTTGTTTGATTGGATAATTTTAAGCATAATTTTCAAAATTAATTTGAATTATTTTTATTGGTTTTAATAAGTTTAATTAACCAACCTTATACCATTATGGGTACTCTAATTTAAGGGTTTTTGAAATTGAGGGTTTCCTTTGTTTCAAGCAGGTGATTTAAATTTATTAATTTCACTCTCTTATCACTTTCCTTTGATCTAATTAATTGATTTAAGTTATGAAAATTAAATCCATGCGAATTCTAGGTTGTTCCCTCACCGTACCTGAAAAGAAACTTCTCAATTTTACTTGTTAATTTTCTTTGCTTTCTGGTTAATTTTTTTATTTATCATTTTAATTTTTCTTCTAAAAAATCCCTCTAAAAATTGCATTTGCAATCAATTTAGTTTAATTTAATTTTCATATAGATTTTAGGACATTTGCATATTGCATTTATAATTACAATTTTGCATTTTAGTTTAGGTCCATTTTATTGTATTTTTCATCACTTAATTCTTTTTTTTTTGATAGTTCATCACTTAAATTCTTACCTTGAGAAACACATAACTTGCTTTTTGAAAATAATAATCTAGGTTGATCCTAAACTACAAATTAATTGGAACCTAGTTTAATTGAGTGCTTTAACAACAGGGACATCATCAATTTTGACACCGTTGCTGGGAAACAATAGTTAGACTTTAGGTTTGAGTTCTAGATGATCTTGCATATTTTATCTGCATAATTTTTTTCTCCTGCATTTTTCTCTGCATTTTCTTTGCTTTTTATTTATTGTATTTTCTCTTTTTGATTGATTTTGCTAATTCATCCTATTCTGAAAATTAAATTTTCATTACCCAAATTTTTGTGAGATTCGAGTTCTTAATATTTTTAGGTGTGCTAATCATTTTTTATACCTTTTGACATCAAGTGTGGGCTATTTTGGCCAAAATAGCTCACACCTGATACCAAAAAAAATTAAAAAACTCAATAAAAATGGTTGAATTTGGTCAAAATAGCCCACAATGATACCAAAAGGTATAAAAAATTATCAGCACACCCAAAACATTAAGAACTCAAATCTCACAAAAATCTAGGCAATGAAAATTTAATTTCCAGAGTAGGATGAATTTAGCAAAATCAATCGAAAAGAGAAAATACAATCAATAAAAAGCAAAGAAAATGCAGAGAAAAAAATTATGCAGATAAAATATGCAAGATCACATGGAACTTAAACCTAAAGTATAACAATTGCTCCTCGACAACAGCATCAAAATTAATGATGCCTCTGTTGTTAAAACACTTAATTAAACTAGGTTTCAATAATTGTAGTTTAGGATCAACCTAAGTCATTACTTCCAAGGAGCAAATTGTGAGTTTCTCCAGGTAAAAATTTAGGTGATGAAAAATGCAATAAAATAGACCTTAACTAAAATACAAAATTCTAATTATAAATGCAAAATGCAACTATCCTAAAATCTATATAAAAAATAAATTAAACTAAATTGAATCCAAATGCAATTTTTGGGAGGATTTTTTAGAAGAAAAATTAAAATGATAAATAAAAAAATTAACTAGAAATAAAAAAAAATTAACAAGTAAAATTGAGAAGTTTCTCTTCAGATACAATAAAGGAAACAACTTAAGATTCGTATGAATTTAATTAATTAAACCAAAAGAAAGTGATAAGAGAGAGAGGAATTAATAAATTTAATCACCTACTTGAAACAAAGAAAACACTTAATTTCAAAAACCTGTATACCATTTGAGTACTTATAACAATATAAGATTGATGAACCAAGCTTATTAAAACCAATGAAAATAATTCAAATTACTTCTGAAAATTATACTTAAAATTATCCAATCAAACAACTAGATAATTTACCAACTAAATTAAACAATCAAGAGGCAAAAAAAATCCAAATTTGCAATGCAAACCATATTGATAATTAAATCCATAACAAAAACTTAATTATAAATTCAATTAACAATGCAAAGATTCATAAACATAAATTTCAGCAAATGTTTCAGTACAAATAAAATCCAAATATTAATCTAATCCAAGCATAAAGATGACAATCTAGAATTAAATTGTCTCACAAAATACAACTCAAAATTATTTAAAACTAAATAATCCCAAGTCCTTGAATTAAAAAAGATAAATGGAATATCACTTTCTTATGCCCTTCATGTGTTACCTCAAGGTTTAAGCCTCATCCATAATCTTCCTAAATTATCTCCCTAGGAAGCTCAAGCTTCCATCAACATATTTCCTTCTCCAAGCTCTTTAGTGCAATTCATGGACATATGATGTAATGAGTTAAAAAATATGATGCTGGGTGGACGATTGAGAACAATTGGCGTGATTGGAGGGATGGTAATAACGGATATTTGATGAGTTATAAGTGATGGACTAGGCACTGAAGATGAAAATTGTTAAGAGAGAGCTTTTCTTGATTGCGTCGAGGGTGAGCGTGAGAGCATGACTACGGAATGAAGGAGGGATGGGA